TTGAAATGTAGCACGAATTATAACGATAAATTTAATTCTAATTCACGTAGTTTTGCATTTATTTAATATCATATTTTGAGACATAAAGTTGATAGAATTATAAATATGATTTTCTATCTATCCCAAATTTCGACGCGAATTTAGATATCGGATACTGAACTTAACGAATATTATTTTCTATTTAATAATATGTGTGTAATATCGGTAAGTATAGAAGAGAAAAAGCGGTAAACAAGTATAATCGAGGCGCAAGTGTAAAAAGGAAGCTGAAAAACTTTCCGTTGGTGGTTTATTGAATGAACGTGCGACGCGATTCAATGTATGTGCCATTCTGATATTAACACACAATTTCCTGGCTCTCTCGCCCGGTGCCAGGAAGCACCCGCAATATCCGTATTCTCGACGGGTTAAGTGCAACGCCCATATAGGCAGTGCACTTTACGATCAACGCTCTTTATGCCGCGCTCGCCAACCAAATTCGCCCGAGATTAAAGCAAGTGGCAAAGCTTTTCGAAGTGCGGAAACGAAAGCCGGCTGTATTTCTAATTAGCGCGACTTTGCGTAGGGATACGAGATATTTCATTTTTCCATCTCTAATTACATAATTCCCGCGATTCTTGAAAAAAGCTTGACCTTTCCTGTGGAAAGTGGTAATTTACAAATCTTTGAAATCTTGGTTTTACCTGAATTTTCAATTACCCACCATCCACGCGATCTTGAATCTTTTAACTTTTTCTAAAACTGTTCAATTGGCTGCTGATGTCTTGTCATTAAAAATTACGAATCGACGGAATATCTTGGTCAAACTAATTTCGCCTACAACTCGTTTCAATTTTCTTTAATTTTACATTCGGTTCTTTTTTATTTTTATGAGATTTTTATAAGAAAGAGATAAGGATCTCTCCATCGTTTCGAAACATTACATCGACGGAAGACGGATAAGGAAGATGTATTAATACGGAAAAACTTCCTCACCGATCCTGTCACCGGTCGAGGAAGGACTCTTATCCTGCGCGTGATGGATCCTGGGATCGGACTGCGACAACTGCCACGCCTGATAAGCCGTGTTGAAGGCTTGCGCCACAGTCAGCGTCACTGTCTGTGCCATTTTTCTTTTCGGGCAGAGAAACGCGTGGCACTCCATCGTCTCGTTGAGATTCGTCGCGATGAATGCGAACACGTGATCATGTGTCGCATCCGCCGAGCAATATGAGATCCTAAGACAAAATAACAACAAAAATTATTAATATAAAAACTACCTTTTACCTTACCAATTTATCAGCTCTTAAGAGAGAAAAATTATCTCTTTTTTTTTTTTTCTTATCAAAAAGAAATATATATATAACTTTCCGTTGAAAAGAAAATAGATGTTACATAACGCATTAGCCGCTTTCGCAAAACTTTGACAATGCCTTAATGATGCCAATAATTTTACATCTTTTGCGCGAAGCACGTTATATCCGCAATGCAACCGCGATATGCAAATCCGTGCCCATCGCTCGCAGCGGCAGCCACTTCCGTTTATGTCGCATGGTGGTATTTCGCCCGCCATGCATAGCGGTTGAAAATTTGCTGGAGGGCTCTTTAAGCAAATCCTAAATTCTCCGAGGAAAACGAGAGTATGATATGCAAAAGGCGGTGTACATGAGATGCACCAAAGGCAATTACAAAAGAACACAATGTAATTGGCATTTCATGAGTCACTCGTCATGGAAAAATCTTCATTTCCTGTTGTAGATAATCTTCTTTAATCTACTTTAATCTACTTTAATAATCATTTATAATCAATGAATTAATCAATCAATCGTTAATCAATGAATTAAATAAACGATCAATGAACCAAATTATAATCAAATATAATTATTGTAATTATATAATAAATTGTAATTAAATAATAATAGATATTCAAATTGCATATATTGAATATAACGTAATCACTTAAGTTTCAAAAGTTTAATGTTATACATAACAAGAAAAAATATAGTTTTATATATATTACATAAAATATTAATAATATATATAAAATAATTCCTCATGCAAACCTAATATAATTATAAAATAATTACAATTTCTTCGTTCTCGTTTATTTCTTCCCTTTTTTCTCCTCTCTTCTTTCTTTTTCCTTTCGTTTCCCGCCCTTTTCCTTGTCCGTTTCTATTTATCTCTCCGCTCTTTTCTTTTTACTTCTTTCTCCTCCTTTTCGTTTTCTTTAGTATCGCTAGAGAGCTTCCCAAGTTACGCTATTGCGGGTAAGAACCGATAACGCGTCATCAGCCCCGAAATAATGCTCTTTAACGCTCTTAATTCCGCGGCTTAATTTTATTCAGCCGCGCGTCTTTGCACGCCGGTTAATTAACTCGCCGTTAACGGCGCCGAGCGGCGAGATTAAGGGAATTTATAACCGGTACGTCAACCCTCACCGCGCTCTCGCCATCGTCGTCCTTTTTTTGTGCGCCTCGTGAAATTTCTCCTTCGCCACTTTAGCGCACCTCCGGCCGCATTATGCACCCGGGGAACAAAGCCCACCACCGGCGGGGCTTTCGCCGTAACAATGGAAACCGCCGCCTGGTATTTCGCCGGTCGGTCTAACGAGTCCGCGGTATAATGACAATGATAATGATCGCGAGAAAAGTTCATTTCATTTGTTCGTTCGTCCGCCGCTTGGAAATTCAGCGAGAGTCTCCCCTTCCGAAAGAGCCTCTCGACCTTTTTATCGCGTATCCTTCTGTCGCTACATTCGATCATTTCCTATTCTATACAATATGAATCTTAACATATTTTTGTGTAAGATCGATCCGTCGCGAAGCGAGCAGTGCGTAATTTTCTACATTTATTCACCACGCAAATTTGCTTTGCCATATGATATGCATTAATTCGACATTTCATTGAGAGAACGTGAACATGAATTCAATTTTTCTGGAAAGCGGAAAAAAAGTGTGCTGGTCTCCTAAACTGATATTACGGAGAAAATTAAAATCGCAATTATATTCTGCAATAATAATCTTTAATGCAATATAAAGGATAGCTTAGATGTATAATTCAAAGTCCCTTATAAAACTTTGTCTGAATTTTTATAGACTCATCAATTTTTTACAAAGACCTTAATTAAGAATATTTATGCAAAATCCCGAATAAAAATATAAATAAAATAAATACAAGTAGATATCATAAAAAATCAAATAAATATATAAATTTAATAGAATTAAATTTATAAAAGAATTATGATTAAGTAAAAAAATATTTAGTGATAAGTATTTTTTAAAATATGTTTATAATCATGTTTAATTTGATTTTAATGGCATGTGCATTTAAAATGCTATCCAAATACTATCTAAATTAAAACAATATGCTTTTTAGCGATTGAAAAATATCGAATGTTTGTTGGAATGTTTACGTTGCATAAAATGCTGCAAATAGAAGCTAACGAAATAATCTCGTCGTCACCGAACATTGTGTATTTTATAACATTCCCGGGTCATTAATGAGATTGAAAATATCGCGAAATTTGCAAATCAAACGCCGGCCTGACGAGAGAGAGAGAGAGAGGCTTCGTGAATCGGAAATAGTCGCGCTGGTAATTTCCCGCAACGAGCATCGAAATCGCACTCGTTGCATATCGCTCGCTGCACCATCACCATCACATTGTCATTACGCGGGATTGTCGATGCATTCTCGGCACTACGTACAACGAATATAATCCGCCGACAGTTCGGCACAACATACAACAAAGTGCGGCGAGTTTCATTTGGCACGATTAAAATTTCAGCCGTGCGAGCTAGCGCGTGTTCTGCGAAAAACAATTATTCATCGTTTCGCGTCTCGTTCGTTAGAAAAAAATATTTTTTTTTTTAGAAAAGATATATTGTGTTCTTCTCCGGTTATGGAAAAAAGGTCATAAAAAATAAAAGAAGCTAATTCGTAAAATAAAGAGAAAGTAGAATTTTAATAACAAAAACTGGAAATATTGAGAGAAAGAGAGTAATAATTTCATGTTGAATAACATAAAACTTATATAAATATAATTATTAACTATATAAATATAATATAAAAATAATAAATTGAAATTAAATAATTTACAATACTGCTTTTCACGTAAATCTTTCAGAAAATCTAATTTATGTTTAAATATTCAATGCAGTCTATTATTAAATTTTTATATTGAAGTTAATTGCTAATTTATTTATTGCCAATATTTAACAATAGTTATTTTAATTGTCAATCTAATTATCTTACCTGTATATCGATACCTGAAGCTGATCCTCTTCGGTCGCCAAATCTGTCATTCTGATTCCTCTCAAGCTTACAGCTAAAGAGACTCTTTGCAACTTTTTTCCGCTTGCTTTCGCCTGTAACAAATGGAACGACGGGGATAAAAAGCGTAATGGTATGCCAGAGAATTTATCCATTAACAAAAAATTTAATTTTGTAAGACTGCATCTTTATTCTTTTCAGAGACATTTCTCTATAAAATTTCATAATATATAACTTGTGATATAAAGAAACAGAACATTTAGTGCATTTAATGCACGCGCGCGCGCGCGCGTGTGTGTGTGTGTGTGTGTGTGTGTATTGTGAAAATAAAATAATAGAAATAAATTTTTTAAAAATCTTCTTTATTTTTGTAATCTTTTGTATTCCGTCAAATATTTTCGTATTAAAATACAAATATGACCCAAAAGATAACTCTAACAGTAAAATATAATTTATTTTTTATGTTTAATTGTGTTATATTTCAATTTCCGATTATCAATGTCTAATTAATGGAATCTATCATAGATCGAATTCCATAATGACTTTTATATCCTTATTAAACTTTAATGTGTGTGGGAGATAAAGAGAGAGAAATCTACAGTTAATTAATTAACTTTCCATTACAACAATGTATTATTTTCCTTAATTCGTTTTCTGATATCTGATCGGTTAACAGAACATTCTTTTCCCTAGCTATGGAGAAATCAAGTCCCAAGAGGATCATCTGATAAATCATCCGACTAAATTGCGAATTTCTATTGATTTCTTCCCGCTGCACCGACAACAATTTCGCCGTTTGCTCGAGCAGAAGGCGAAGCATCTGGAATAGTTTGAAACGCGCCCGAGAATAAATCCATGGCATTAAACCCGGGTAAAGCGAAGCAACAGCTCGATTACCTTTTTCGGAAATCAAATATCCCGTTGCTATACCGTGAGTTCTCTCGCCATTGCTCTATCGCAACGCAATTACGAGTCTTCGCGCGGATTAAGCGGTCCATTTAACGATTTAACTCGCGCATGAAGATTCCGTTGCCTTAATCGCGAACGTCACACGAGAGATTGCGAGATGTTCCCTAACTCACTGATTCCCGAGTGAATTCTGTATCGAATCTCCCTCCCTCCCCCCCCTCTCTCTCTCTCTCTCTGTCATGGAATATGTTATTGTGGAAGTACAGCTTAATGTCTTCACAATCTAACTAATTGTAACTAGATATACATTTGTCGCACTTGGAAATATCATTATTACATGCAAAGAAAATGGAAATAAATAAATTTAATTCAAAGATAAAATTTAAAAATAAAATTCAAAAATAAAATTGTAGTTTTTGTCTCACACAAAAGGAATCAGAAACGTATGAAATATATTACAAGCAAAACGACCTTTTTCACATGCAAGGGAAATAAGTTTAATGAAAATAAGACACTGACTTCGAATTAATATCGTTACTTAACGAGAGGAAATGTTTATCTAGCAAATTATTTCCTTCTTTTATATAAATTTACGTGACCGACGTTACAATAATCAAATACAAGAAGTTAATTATGCAACGCAACAGCAAACTTTGTATTAAATTTCATATTTACGATTTAATAACGATATATTAACGATGTTAATATCCGTAAAATTATTCCACCGTGCGGTCCAAGCTTTTAATTAAATTCTTTGCTCTCTTTTGTTTAAATAACAACATTTACCAGAGTTGAGCGAAACGGGGATTGATATTCACGCTAATTCCGAATGAAATCCGTGGAAACAACCGTACGTAAAGTTTTGCGACAGATTAACGAATTCTTTTGCGGGAAAAGAGAAACCTTGCAGCGATAACGAGGTTCGAATCGCGCTCAGATCCTCTTTTCACCTTATTTTTAATTATCACGTTTAATTTGCAACGAAAGCGTGCTTATTCAGCCGTGCTTTTGGCGGCTATTCATTGCCGAGAAACCGCGATAATCCGGATATGTCTTGCTCCTTAAATAGATTAAACATCCCAGTTCATTTTATCATCTTGTTTCAAGAAGAGACTCGAGAGTTGAAATTAAAACTTTTTTCACTGA